ACGCGTGGATGTGGATTGTTAGGCTTACCCTCTTGTATGTGTAAATGATTTGAGTCTTTCCTATAAAAAGGAAGTGAGTGACTCCCATTATGTAAGGAAAGATTTGGAGTGTTAGACTAGAGAGAGAATTTGTACAATACGCACTTTGTATGTTCTTTCCAAATCTAATATGAGCTTAACAAGATTTATTTACTCTATGTGATCTTGATTTTGTATGATGATCCACTTAATCTTTCTTATCCCGCACATGTCATCATAATCAACACCACTACACAAATAAAAAAAAAAAGACGAACTTAGCACTGAAACTCGAACTTGAATCTCTTTGTGGAAGGCCAACCTATTATTCATTTGTAGACTAACCATAATTCACCATTTAGTAGGCCCATTAACGAATCGCAAAATATCGTGGATTTAACATGTTTTCTTCGTTTTACAACGGACTTTGCGAAATTGATGGAAATTTCTATAATCTTTTTTTTATTAATATAATACATCATTTATAATCTAAAAAGCTAGTCGTTACAAATCTAGTTGTTTTTTCTTTAATCTTGTAATTTAATATAAAAGATATAGGTTAAGATAAATAAATAAAAACAACCTATTCATAAACATTAAAACAAACTATGAACGTGAACTTTATAGTTTAGTTGTTTGGTTGAACAAGTAAAAGAATCTATATATATTTATAAAAAAACATTTTCATATGTATTTGAAAATTTCATAACTTTTCAATTTCTTTCTAATAATTATTATAAACTGATTAATAATATTAAATTAATGCAAAAAAGTAAATTTTAATCTTAAATTAACTAAACTTTAATATTAAAATATCATATTTTATTTTTATTTATAAAATTATGACTTTAAGTTTTTAACATATTATAGTTAACTTATTGATTTAGATATGTTGTCGTATGTGAATAATTGTCATTTTAAAGTCGCAACTTTTATATTATTTATGATTTTATGCAAAATAGTTAAATTATTAATTTCAATATAATGTTAAACGGTTAACTTAAATCAAAATTTCAGTTAAATTTAAAAAAAATCGAAAGATTATTTATAAATAGTTAAAAGTTATATATAATAGTGTTAAACCTAAATTGTAATCCTAAATTAAAAAAAAACCATGAAACTATTTTTATAATCATTAAGAATTTTTAAATAAGTAGCTTAAAAATAACTTACAATAAAAATAGTTAAAAGTAATACTATATAAAAAACTATAGTGTTATCTTCAAAAACAAAAAAAAAATGTTTTTTGTTTTAAATAATTACAATAAAAAAAACTAACAGTATTCAACAAATAGATTTCAAAATAGTTAAATTTCTGAAACCAAATTAAAATAATTAAGAGTTTCCAAACACATTATTTTAAATAACTTACAACAACAATAGTTAAAAATAAACATTATACATAAAAATTATATTGTTACCTTTAAAAATAAAAACAATGTTTGATGTTTTAAATAATTACAATGATAGAAATTAAAATCTTAAGTAAATAAACCTTTTAAAATTAATTAATCATAACTAAAACTATAGATATCATTAATCTTATATTATATTTAATTTTATTTGTTACCCTAATATGCATGTTAAGACCATCTAGACAATTGACAATATATAATATATATATATATATATATATATATATATATATATATATATATATATATATAATATACTATCATTTAATTTATTCGGCAAAACTAACTGGTAGCGTGTGACGGGTAGCGCAAAACGTTTGATTTTGGAGTGTTTTTTTGGAAGCTACTCCATGTAGCTTTTGATTTTGGAGCATTTTGTTGAGGTTAAAAGCTAAACATTCCTGTCACCGAGCGAAACTTTTTCTTTTTACTAGCGTTTTCTTAAAAGCTAGAAGACAGAAGCTTCCAAACGCTGCATGCCGAATACGTCCAATGTCATTGATATATTTAAAAAACATATATTTATAAACATTTCAAATATATTACTGTATTTTAGGCAACGTGAATCTCTATTACGAATCCTTTGTGTACCTTAGTGTTCCTAGCTATCCACTCATTTTTATCAATCTACTTTAGGGTAATACATATGGTAATAGATAGTAAAAACCCCATAAAGTTGATCTTTTGAACCCGTCGTCAAGTTATGATCACTAATCAATTAATCTTAGGGTAAACTTGGCCTAATCTAATCACTAATATTGTAGCAATCTCGTAAATGATAATTCATTGAGGGTTATGAAAATAATTGTGACACGTGGCCAGCGTTGCCGAATCCCACGTGGATAAACATAGCCGCGCGCCCATGCTCCAAACACACCACGTGTAATCTAGGATCCGCAACGAACACAATCCATTACGTTGGTTTTACAACCTGATCACCCTTACCGAAAGAAAGATGTCTGGTGTATCCCTTGCGGTGGCGCCACGCCCTGACTGCGACCAGAACCCCCCAAACAATCACCGACAAGACCAGACGGCCGGCGCCGTTGAAGATGTAATGGAATCACTACGTATGATCGACCTCCAGTTGGTAGCTTTCATAACGGTTTTCTCAGCTAGCGGTCTTGTCCCCCTCTTCGACCTTCTCTTCCCAGCCATCACCTCCGCCTACCTCCTCCTTTTATCCCAACTAGTCTCCCGGAGCACGCCTCCGCCACCGCTTCAAAAGAGCGATTATTTCAGTCAAGTAGACCCTTTAGACTTTATGTGATTACGGGTCTCGCCGTGGGGCTATTCTCGCCGTTAGCTTATATTTTGGGAGGGTTTGTGAGGGGAGACGATCATGCAGTTAAGTCGGCTACACCTCACTTGTTCTTACTCTCGTTTCAAATATTGACGGAAAAGATTGTAAGTGGGCTGTGTTTGTTTTCACCTCCTGTGAGGGCTTTGGTGCCGATGTTTTATACAGTTAGAAGAATCTTTGTTATATTGGATTGGGTACGAGATGTGTGGTTCAACAAAACCCTGCCATTAAATGCAGGAATTAAGGTAAGATAACTCTTTTAATTAATGCATAGAGGTTGTAATTAAGTGATTTTTCTGATATACATTTGTGTGTTGAGTAGGATGTTGGATGGTATTGGTTTGGGAGAATCCTAGCGATAGCTAATCTGGGTTATTTCTCAATCAATCTGTTTGGATTTTTGATTCCACGGTTTATTCCAAGAGCATTCGAGCAGTATTTCAAGGAAAGAAACGAGGTACACGAGAAGTCGTCGGTGAAGGACTTGAGATCCAAGTATCCAACACCCACAGGAATCAGGATGTGGGCTGCAAGAGACCATCTACAGTCGGAGAAATCTGATTAACATGGACTGTTCATTAATACACGCCAAAATACGGGTTAATATGTTTTTGTTTTATGTTGATAAAGTTTAGATATACGGGGAAACGGATCTTTTATTTTTTATGATCGATCTTCGTTTAATTTCATTTGATTAGCTAAACATATGAAACATTTGCAAATATGGTTATTGTTGAATTATGGCTTTATGGACAAATAAAGGAAGACAGGTATACTCGAAAATAATAAGTTTCTCCTAAAATTTAGGCAAAATTAAGTTTTCAAAAATAGCCATAAAGTTGAAAATTGAAAATTTGCAAGGGTGTCCTGCCAAAATAGTTGTTGAAATAGTTGTTTGTGTAAGATAATTGGCCATTTTTTTTATTAATCTTAATAATATATAGGTAATTATGGATTACTAACCCGGTTTTTTAGTTGATTAAGTGTCGTGACTTGGTCATACATCAACTGGTTGTTAGCCGGGTCAAGCCTGATTTTCAGAAAAGACTTGCCCACTACAAGTATTTGGAAAAAGTAGCTCTTACTTCGAAGCGGAAAGATGATAGCTGGAAGCTATATGTAAAATTATATAAAATAACAATTGTTTAATATATATATATATATATATATATATATATATATATTTATATAGTAGGTTTAAACCCGTGTAAACCAACGGTTGAGAAAAAGAAAAACATAATTCAGAATACGAATTCATAACGAGTAATCAAATATTTGTAAAAAATTTATTAGTATATTTGTAAAAAATTTATTAGTTTACAAAGATGAAAGGTTTTTTAGTAAGTTTATAATTTAGTTTTAAAATAAATATATTTGCAAAGTTTCTTTTACTTCTACTTGTAACAAGCAAAAATAAAATAAAAAACAAAGTAAATTGTTATTTTTTGCAACATGGTTTCATTGTTACAAATAGTAGCAATATGTAACTTTCATTTACAAAGGTTAAAAGTAAGTTTTAAAAAATTAGTGCAATAGGGGTAAGTAGGAACCTTTTTTAGGCTCTTTTAAATTAATTAACTTAACATGGGTTTATTATTCCTTCGAACGATTAGATAGGATCTTCGAACGATTAGATAGGATAGAAGTATAATAACATTATTCGAAAAAAAAAGTAACGTTACTACTGTAATAACAAACTCTTGTAATCAAGAAAAAACAACCAATGTCTTTGTAGTATGGAATGTAATAACAAACTCTTGTAATCAAGAAAAAACAACCAATGTCTTTGTAGTATGATTCCAGCTGGGCTATCACCAAAATTTCTAACAAATGACAGGTTTTATATCTGCAAAGTTATAAACTGTTTGATTAAAATCCATTCATAAAGAACAAAATAGAGTGGCAGGAAGAATTGCATTACATGACATGCTTTCATAGTTACCTCGGTAACAAATTCCTAATAAGAATTTTAGCATGGGCATTCTCTACATACACTTGTTCTTGAAAATATACAGGTTTATTCTCTTAAGAAGCACAAAGTAGTTATTAATGCTAAGAGGTTTGAGGATGTTTCTTTCTAGAAGCATCTGGTTCTTGAGTTCTTATGCAACCAATGACACATGTCTTTCATGCTGATGGCCTCTAATGTTAATTCTGAAAGTTGTATTATTTTCTTCATTTTCAGAAACACGAAAAAGGGATTCCAGTAATAAGATTTCCTAGTCACATGGCCAAGAAAATGGAAGTATGTTCTCTTCTTTTTAAACATTATCATCAAGAAGTTTAAGATTAAAAAACAAACATGATGATGAGATCAAGGAAGTAGAAATAGTAATCGCCTATTATGAGATGGAACATTGTAACATACTATTTTAAATATATATACTAATATAAGAGAGTGGGTATTGAGTATTTACGTTCACATGTTGCTATTAAGCAACTTACATGTTGTCCATCTTTGTGATGGCTTAAATGGACCAGTGGCAACAAAAGTAAATAGATATGAATAGAAATCTCAGATGTCACGACCTTATAAGGCTTTAACACTAAGTAATTCAAGTAGTCCAAGCAAACCTCAACCTGTCCATTAAAGATTGGAAACCTCTATATCTTCATCTTCCACAATCAGAACCACTTCCATGCATAACCACAACATGTCCAATTACACAAATAAACCATAAGATTACATAAAACAAACATATATTAATAACAACATGGATAAAATTCTTACATATCAAAATTGATCCACCAAGAACCCCAAATGTATGCATGTACAGGACTCTGGACGAAAATACTCTTACAATCCAAAAGCACCCAAATCCATATCTAGATTATATGAAACTTCAAAATAATCAAACATTTAAGAGATTTCATATCTTATTTGATTCATAGGGGAGAGGCTTCATCCATTTGTAGCCCTGGAACAAAAAAATCAAAAAAGAAGCAATCTATTTTCTCCTATTGCAATCGGTAATCATCCTTATAATTGAAAAGGATGTAATTGGGGGGAAAATATTGAAATTAGAACCTGGAACAATAGCGTTTAATCCCTGAACGAAAACCTTTAAACTCAAAACAGATTTGCAAGATTTGAGAAAATGGGTCAATTTCGAATGGATTTCAACCTTTTAATGAATCACGACACGATGAATGCGAAATACCTGATTCGTTTTATCGACAGCAAGCATGGATAAAACTCATAACCACGATATTGTGTGTGTAAATACAAAGGATAAGGGGGGAAGAAGTACATAAAGTTAGTCCATTATAAAAATTTGCAAGTAAAGGGATGAAAGAAGATAATGCTTCACGCAACCGATCCAAGACAACCAAGAAATTGAAGATGGATTTAATTAAAATGGGGTAAGAAATTAAAGCTATAACTGACCACTTAACATCCAAGAAAAGGAGGCAAGGAGAGAAGGAAGCAACATCGTTTATGGTGGGGTTTGTTGCCAGAGAGGTGGGTGGAGGACGGAGGGGACACAACAAATCGTGGTGACATCTATGATTTTAGATTGGGAAAATAGGAAGATAAGGAGTCAACAAAATAGAAAGATCTATGTGTTATACCTATTTACAAACACAAACCGAGTATATTGTTAATTGATTCCCAATTTTCAGGAACGAAATTGGAGTATATGGATGAAGGAATAGTTGGATTTAATTGCACCGAGAGCTTAAAGGAACAGAAGAAATGGCAATAGTGGCAATTCACATACATGATTTAGGCACGAAAATAAGCTGGGAGGAGGCCGCTCAAATGCCACATGGCCATCAAGGTACTCTTTTATTAGAGTAGGGGATATATATATATATATATATATATATATATATATATATATATATATATATTATGTATATATATATTATAATATATATATAATATTAGTCATATCTTGAATTTTAAGAAGTATAAATTATAAAAACTTTTGTACAAATAAATTTCGTATAAATATCATTAATACTTGCTAAAAATTTGAAGACTTGAATTAAGGAAGGTTATTAAGAAAATTAATTTGGAGCATAATGATAATTTTAAAGTATTAAATTCATGTATATATAAATTAATTTAAATTTCTTAATTAAGAGCAAAATGATAATTTTAATCCCCGTAAGAAAACTATTCGCCAAAAGAGCTATTTTATCCCAGCCGCTTTGTGCGGGTATAATATATATATATATAGATATATATATATATATATACATATATGTATAATGTATATCTATATATATATATATAGATATATATATCTATATATATATATATATATATATATCTATATATATATTAAGGGCAATTCTAGAAATTGATTTCAAAAGCTTAGTAGCGTTTTGTTAAACGCTGCATAAAGTAGCTTTTATATTTGAAGCGTTTTGTTTAAACTAAAAGCTAAACGCTCATAGTGTCGAACGTTTTTTTTAAATGAAGCGTTTTCTTAAAAGCTAAAAGCTAGAAGCTTCTAAACGCTCTCAAACGCTCTGTGCCAAAATAACTACAAAACTTTCTTAGACACACTACTTCTGCAAGATTTGCCAATGGTACTGGACCAAAGGTTGAGCCCTTGTAATTTTCTAGACGGTGGCTGCCATAAAAACAAGGGAACCACCATGGCTAGCTGGCTGCTACCTTAGCAAACCATGGTCGGACCTGCTGGTAACCAACGATGCATATAGTTAAGTAAACAAACTTTTTATATATAGTTTGTGTGTGTATGTCTCTCATAAATTAAGAGAAATGATAGGTGTTGCATCTTGCGATGGTTGTCCTTGCTTGAACTATAAATATTTAAATTGGATGTTTTATTTTCTTATGTTAATGGTATTAATAAAAACTTTTGAACTTGAAGTTTAATCATAGCTTCTATATGTATGTGAAATTCCAAATACAACCAAAACATACATCTGTCAAAAAGATGTTCCAAATGGTCAATGAGTCGGAGGGCCATCTGTAGAGCTACCTGTCATCGACCTCTTGGCGTATTATTATCTTTATTTTGTTTGTTTTTTGGCCATAATTTCATTTTTTTTGTAAAAGAATTTAAAAACTAAAATTCTGATGCGGGCCCTAGTGTGGATGATGGACACTTGTATTTCTAGAGGCTCATGATCGTGTGAATAAAAGAGTTTCACGGAAATGTTCATAACTTTGGCTACCAGGCTTCGTTTTGGGCGACGACCAGTCAAATCAAAGCTTGGAACAAGAAGCACGTCATGATAAGCTCGTGAAGGGGACTTATCAATTTTTGAGTCTGGAAATGAGTTATGAACAATATTATTATTTTTCCATAATTTTTGGGTTTTGTTTTTGGGTTTGTATTTGGCTCATGGATCTTTAGGGTTCCATTTTAATTTATGCTTCTTATTTTACCGTTACCAATTTAATTTGGGTGGTCATTCATCAGTTTTAAGGACTTTCAATTTTCTCCTAAAATTTTGTGTGTGTTGAAGCATTTTGAAACCCATCACACGATATTTGTAGAATTACGTGATTTGGGGGGTATTGTCGTGAGTATTCTATATGAATCAACATGTTCAATCTTGTCTACCTTAATTTGCTAGTTT